TATAATAATATATCAAAGATGAATGAAAGTTCAATCGCGTGAGAAAAGTTAAATATATCAATGGACTTACATTATATATGTCGAGGGCCGAATATTAGGTTTTAACTTGGACCCACATAGATTTATTTCCCCGCCTATAAATTTCCCAAATCAAATCCCGTCAAAACACATGCAACAGAAAAAAACACAAACACGTAAACGAGACAAAGAAAAATCCTTGTTCATTGTTCAATATTCTAGACTCGATACACAACCGCATACATATTTATGGACCAAGGAGGTGGTGGTGGTGGCGGAGGTGAACAAGGAAAGTACCGGGGAGTTCGAAGACGGCCTTGGGGAAAATACGCGGCAGAGATACGAGATTCGAGGAAGCACGGTGAACGTGTGTGGCTTGGAACGTTTGATACCGCGGAGGAAGCGGCTAGAGCCTATGACCAAGCCGCCTACTCCATGAGAGGTCAAGCCGCGATTTTGAATTTCCCTCATGAGTATAACATGGGGAGTGGTGGCTCTTCTGCAGCCACGGCGGCTGGATCTTCATCCTCCTCCGCTTCTTCATCTTCTAGGCAAGTTTTCGAGTTTGAGTATTTGGATGATAGTGTTTTGGAGGAACTCCTTGACGATGGAGAGAATCCTACTAAGAACAAAAGTAACAAGGGCAAAAAGAAGTAATGAGAGATATATATTTCGTTATCATTTCTAATGGAAGTAGTGTAAGATATAATTGATATATGCAAATAAATTCCATGCAGTGATCTTATCTTATATTGGTCATGATTTGAGCAAGAATCGATGTTTTTTGAATGTAAGCAACCGTGACATATATTCATATTTATTTGCGACAATATACATATAGATTTGAAATACCGACATTCTATTAGAGCATCCTTTGGTGTTTGTTTCGTATGTAAAGTATATGATCTGATATGTTTCAGATCTGATTTGAAATACCGACATTCTATTAGAGCATCCTTTGGTGTTTGTTTCGTATGTAAAGTATATGATCTGATATGTTTCAGATCATGATCATAATAAGGATATATAGCATTTGCATTTTTTTTTTTTTTTTCATTTTTTCACAATTTTATAGAACAACGAGATCTATAAAGTCGGTCATGAGTTAAACTATAATTATAATTCTGCTATGCATATATTAAAATTACATATTAATTATATTTTAATTAATATTAATTATATAGTTATAATTAATACAATAATATGAAATTAAATTAAAGTTAATACAAGGGCATACAATATCAAAGATTAGGAAAAATGAGATTTTAAAAAAATTAAAAATTTAATTATGATACTTAAAACAGAATTAAATATATATTACTAATTATTTTTTATAGTCAAGTATATTTAAGATGTAATTTGGTGTTTTTGAAATATTAGAAAAATATTTTATAATCTAATATCAAATTTAAAAATTAAATGATACTAAAATTGATTTAAGTTTTCTTTGAAACTAATATTTTATCTTGTGAAAACCTCAATAGGTATGTAAGGAATGAAGGAACAAATGCGATGAGCTTTTTTAAAAAAACCTGCGAAAATACAATTATTTATTGAAAAGATACATAATGTGAATATCACAATATCTCACATATCCCAAATAACTGAACTGAAATCGATCCAAAAAACTTAAACAGAATCCTAACCAAAATAAAATAAATATCTGATGGCTTCTACGCTTCTAAACCAAAAATGCCGAAACCGAACTCAAACTAAACTGAATCAAATATGAGATAAGTATTTAAAAAAAATCTGAAATATATTTACATACTCAAAATTTTATTTATATTTAGATTTGAAATATTCAAAATACAAAAATATATTAATAAGAAGGAAATACATACAGATATAAAAAGGCTGTAATTTGCTAACACACATAATTTATAGCATAAATTTTGTTTGACTAATTAGATGGCTACTTTTTTTTTTGTTTTTTTGTCAATAAGTTCCTATAAATGGCTACTTTTCTTCTCCTTTTTCATAATTTTCTTTCCTGTTTTGTTATATGGCAAGTTCTCATATATAGACATTTTCAATTATTTAGTTTATTACAAAGAAAAATCTACATAACTAATAAGGCTCATCGGCGCTCGCCAGGGTTCATGGTTATCCCTCTCCTCCGCTACCCTCCTCTGTCAATTTTGAAGAATTACTCGTAGCTCCCACTGCGGAGACTATCACGGCTCTCCTCCTGCGTTTATGGTTCTCGGTCTCGGTCTATTGCCAGTTCCGTTTATTTCGCCGGATCTTGGTCTCCGATGATATGTCGCCCTCATCAGAATCGTTAGCACCGTGATTTGTCTTACTCAGAGATCAAGGTAAATAAATTGACCCAAATTTTTTTGTCTTTGGTAAAATCGTTTGGGCTTCTTATGATTGGTTTTTTCTTCTAAACTCTTCGTTCTCTTTCAGGTTGTATTTTTTTTTTTAAGATAGCACCATAGATTTGTCTGCGAGGACTTGGAATCCTCTCGGTGAAAGATGTATGAATCACATAACTTTTTGTGTGTTTTCTCGCCAAAGTTATGTAATTTTTTCTTTGGTTAGGAGCTAAAGATTTCAATTTTTTATTCTTTTTGTAGGTTCCAGGGTACTCTGCTTTACGTTAGAATCTATTTTGTAGGTAAATGTTTTTTTCTTGTATAGCTAATTGATTTCAGTTGAAAGATTATATTTTTTCAATTTTGTCTCAAAGATTGTTTCTTTTTGCAATAGGTTAGCTTCGCTTCCTTGAGAGGTGAAGAGAAAGAGCTTGAAGATGCTCATGGTAGGTGAATAATACGATCTTTCAAGTTTTTTTGTTTGAATTTGTTACAGATGTTTCCTTTTCTTTTTATCTCTTTTGTTTAATTTCTTCGCAAGGTACAATTTGGGTTGGAGTCATGGGAAGGAGAACCTTGAATCCGGGATGCTTGGTGAGCTTATATAAACTTTTTTATTGCTGCATCTGGTTCGATTTTTATGTGTGTCAGTAAAAGATAATATTATCAAAAAGAACTCTTCATTAACATTGGTTTGCTTTTCAATTTCTAATGTCCAGGCTGAACCAAATACATGAAGTCCTCGTGCATATGATTCGCCCGCCAGTTAACGATGTAGGTTGTTTTTACGTTAATAACTTGGTATATTTGAGGAGTATGGATAAATTGTTCTGAGCATTTTTTGTCAGTAGTATGTATGATGGAGATGCATCGAAGCATACATCAGAGTGGCTAAAGTGCCTAATTTCTTCTTTTTCCGAACTTCGATTCTTACTATATTGAGAATCTTGGAGCTTCTGGTGTGAAAGGTGTGTCCATGATCCAACTCTTACTGTATATATTAAGGTTATCTGATGATGCAACTCTAAGAATTAGCCTCTTACTGGTCATGTTTACATTTTTTGAGAAATTTAATCAATTGGTGGGGTCCTCTATGCAGAATGATTTGTGGGGGTTGTGGAATTTGTTCCCTTTTTTAAGAAGCACGATCGTAAGCTCTCTGTTGTTATTGACATTCCCTGAGTTGAGAGAAAACAATTGATTGGTTTTTTTTTTTTAAATTATGTAGCCTTTATTAGCTTTAGTTAACCAATTTGTTGAATTGTTTTTGTTTTACAGATGCTTTGACATCACTAAGGCAAAGTGTCGTTGGTAGCACCAATCCTGGCTTCGTAAAACAGTTAGATTTGTTTCAGATGATGAACTTTAAGGTCGACCGTTCAAGCCCTATGTACAAACGCTTCCGTCTAAAAGCTTTACTGCTTTAGGTTTTGATCCGTTTTTTCATTATCTCGAAGTTTATCGAAAATAAATCATTATTGATTTGCTAATGGATATCTGACAATATGGGATTGTATTGTAACAGGTTATCTATATAGCAAAGATAAGAAATTAGACAAATCGAAGTTGAGGGGTGATCCAGAAATGTCGAAGATTGAGAGTAGTGGTACTACTACGTACCAGTGCAAGAAATGTAGGAGAGTTGTGTTGTTGGAAGAGCAAGTGATGAGTCATACTCGAGGTGAGGCTGATCAAGAGTTCGATGTCATGTTTCCAAACATGATTGGAGATGTCCACAACAAGAATCCTGGCGGCGAGGAGACGCAATGTACTTCTATATTCGTACAGCCGATGAGTTGGATGAATGCAGCTACATCTATATATATACTCTTAATAAATGACGCTCAATATAAATCTGTGTTGGTTTCTTGATTCGTCTTTACTAATCTCTAACTTTCTGTTTGTCAGTGGAAGTTGATGTCTCGGAAGGGAAGTTGATGTGTCCGGAGTGTAAAGCTAGGATTGGAAGCTTTCATTGGTCAGGAAGTTATTGTAGCTGCGGAAGCAAGATTGTTCCGGCCTTTCAGCTTCAAATGAGCCGCGTCGGTGTTATCACTGTCAAAAATGACAAGAACAAGAAGAAGAAGAAGCACTTGAAGAAAAGAACACAAGCTTGGATTTTTTGCTGTGATTCGGAATATAAGCTTTGTTTTTTTTTCTCCTTTTTTCTGCATGAAAATATAGAGATGGTGAAATCAATAGAATCTCAGTTTTAAAGGTTTCTTAAGATCATCATATAAATCAAGATCTGCATTTTCTATAAATCTGTTCAGTTGGGTTTGCTTGAGTTCTTTCACTTGCACGAAATTGATCTCAAGTTTCATGCACATTTCGTTTCGCAAAGACAAGAACTTACTTCGTAAATTCGTAAAGGTAATCCAATTAAACTCATATTATAGTTTTATCCCTCGAAAATCTATAATTAAAAATGACACTCTTACAGTTTACACATCAGAACTTCATCATTCAAGGATTCATTCCTCCTACCCAATACTCTTACACGTAAACATATTCCATTCGGCGAGAATATAATAGCAGAATACTAATGTGTGCGAGACAAAATTCAGATAGGTTTTTAAGAAAGCCACCAATATTTTCACAAAATGGGTTTCACATTTTGGCAATGAGTAAGTAACAAGAGAGTATCACAACTTTTTATTTGGTTAAATGGAATATAAAATACGGTTTATAATGAAAAAAAACAAATAACCCGCGTGTAGAGCGGGTTCTCTCCTAGTATTATTAAATATTGAGAACGAGAAAATAACGTGGCACTAAATTACAAAGAAACACTACCACGTCTCCTACATGCTCCGAATCAAATCCCTCTCAATCTCTATCAATACAATACTCTTCAACCCATTTTCTCTAAAGTCAAAACCCTCCTGAGAAAAACAGAGACCATCCTCGTTTCCCTCTTTTCTTCAATGGCTTCTTCTACTGTGACTCTTCTTGGCCCACCTTCCGTCGCATCCACCGAGACTCCTGTTACCCCTGTTACCGACGATCACAATCTCATCTCCAAGACCGCGACACTAAACCTCGGAGAAGAAGCACCGCCAATGGGTTTGACTGAAAACTTATCCGCGACGTTCCTCTCCTCCGGGAACCCATGTCTCGATTTCTTCTTCCACATCGTCCCCGACACGTCCCCCGACGATCTGATCCAAAGGCTGGAGCTTTCTTGGTCACACGACCCGTTGACTACGTTAAAGCTCGTCTGCAATCTCCGAGGAGTTCGAGGAACTGGGAAATCAGATAAAGAAGGGTTTTACACTGCTGTCTATTGGCTTTACCAGAATCACCCCAAAACCCTAGCTTTGAATCTCCCGGCTCTCGTCGAATTCGGGTATCTGAAAGATCTGCCCGAGATTCTGTATCGGATCCTCGAAGGCCAGCAGATGGAGAGAGGGAAGAGCCGGGTCTGGAGGAAGAAGATCCAGAGGAAATTCAAGCGGAAGAGCGACGAAAGCTCCGAGATTTCCGGGGATTTGGCAGATCGGATTCTGGAAAACGCGGAGGAGATCGGTGGCCCCGTCGATAAAGTAAAGGCTAGAGCTTTACGGAAACAGAGAGAGTCAGAGAAGGCGAAGAGAGCTTTAGAGAGGTACAGATCCGATGCTAATTACAGATTACTCTTTGATCGAACCGCGGATTTGTTTGCTGATTTGTTGAAATCCGATTTGAAGTATCTGAATTCGAATGAGATGAATAAGATTGGGTTAGCTTCGAAATGGTGTCCTTCTGTTGATTCTTCGTATGATAAGACTAGTTTGATATGTGAGGCAATTGCTAGAAGAATGTTCTCTAGAGACGAATACAATGGAGTCGAAGAAGCTCATTACGTTTACAGGATTAGAGATAGGTTGAGGAAACAAGTTCTTGTGCCATTGCATAAGGCTCTTGAGTTGCCTGAGTTGTCTATGAGTGCAAAAGAATGGAACTTGTTGAAGTACAATAGAGTTGCTTCCGTGGCTATGAAGAACTACAAGAAGCTCTTTGAGGAGCATGATAGCGAGAGGTTTACGCAGTTTCTTGAGGATGTGAAGTCAGGGAAGGAGAAGATTGCTGCTGGTGCGTTGCTTCCTCATGAGATAATCAAACAGCTGGAGGAGGATGAGAACGGGAGTGAGGTTGGCTCTGAGGTTGCGGAGCTTCAGTGGGCGAGGATGGTGGATGATATGGCTAAGAAAGGGAAGCTGAAGAACTCGTTGGCGGTTTGTGATGTCTCTGGGAGCATGAGTGGTACGCCTATGGAGGTTTGCGTGGCGCTAGGGTTGTTGGTGTCGGAGCTTAACGATGAGCCGTGGAAAGGGAAAGTTATCACCTTTAGCGAGAACCCGGAGATTCATGTGGTCACTGGTTCGAGTCTGAGAGAGAAGACTCGGTTTGTTAGGGAGATGGATTGGGGGATGAACACTGATTTCCAGAAGGTGTTTGATCGGATTCTTGAGGTTGCAGTGGAGAGTAACCTGACCGATGATCAGATGATCAAGCGGTTGTTTGTGTTCAGCGACATGGAGTTCGATGATGCGACCGGAAACAACCATTCCGAGGTGAGTTACGCTATGAGTTTGGAGGAGCGGTTGAAGAAGAGGAAGCAGCTGGCGGAGGAGAAGTGGGAGACGGATTATGAGGTGGTACAGAGGAAGTATAAAGAGAGAGGCTTTGAGAATGTTCCGGAGATGGTGTTTTGGAATCTGAGAGACTCGTCGGCTACGCCGGTGGTGGCTAATCAGAAAGGAGTGGCTTTGGTTAGTGGGTTTTCGAAGAATCTGCTCACTCTGTTTCTTGAGGAAGGTGGGATTGTGTGTCCTGATGATGTCATGTGGTTAGCCATTAAAGGTGAGGAGTATAAGAAGCTTGCTGTGTATGACTGAGAATACATGAGCTTTAATGCTTAAAAACTTAACACCATCTTGAAGTATATTTTTCTTACTTGTTCTGTTTTTGATCTGTTGAATTATGTGAGGAAATGGATGGATTTTTGTTATCTTTTTTTTTTGGTCTAAGAAAGTGAAATGATCTAGAAGTCCTAAGAGGAGGAAGCATCACACTTTGTTTCCTCCTAAGTCCTAACTTTGGAATCTTTCCTTTCTCTCTTTTTGTTCTAATGGAAGGAAAAGGCAAAGCCAAACTAATATTCTCTCACTTCCTCTTTCTCTTTTCTCTTTTCTCCTTATTCCTGTGGTGTCCTCTCACATCCGGTAGTTTCATGAAGAATATGTTCTTGTACATGGCCAAGTTGCTTGATATGATGCGAACAAATCAACAAACAACCTTTTGAGTTTTGAGCATTACCCTGAATCCAAAAACAACGTTTTACGCGCTCTAGTTACCTGCGAATGATCTTGAATACGAAGAACGACGTACTGGATTGGATTCAAACCTGAAAAACTCAACAAAATAAAGAAAGAAAGTGTTGTTAAACTTGCTAACATTTTGGTTATTAGATGATGTAGTTGAGGACTTGAAGTTAGAACAATGTAGGCAAGTGTGCTAACACATGGGCTAATGCTAAAGAGAATATATTCTTCAACGCGGTTTTATAAAGCCCATTCATCAAAGTTGACAATCACCGTTCTTTATCTCAAAGAGCAAAGCATAAAAGAACATAAAAGCTCCAAACTTTTTTACTTAAATTTTCAATAATATCATCAATAGCGTCTGTTTATTATAAATCTTCTAGGCTTGTTTGTCATTGTTGTTTCGTCTCATTGTTTCTCTGTTTCTTGAGGGTTGATCAATGGAAGCTGGTGCGTTAAACTCGGTGATCAATAGGTTGCTTGAAGCTAGAGAGAAACCTGGAAAGATTGTTCAGTTGTCTGAAAATGAGATCAAACAGCTCTGTTTTGTCTCTAGAGATATCTTCTTGAGACAACCAAATCTCTTAGACCTCGAAGCTCCTGTCAAAATCTGCGGTAAGTACTCTCTCTCTTCTCTCTGCTTCTCCTTTATCTCTTCTTTGAGATTGTGTTCTAATGTTAAAGAAAAAAACAGGGGACATTCATGGACAATACTCGGATCTTTTAAGACTATTTGAATACGGAGGATACCCTCCTCGTTCAAACTACTTGTTTCTTGGAGATTACGTCGATCGCGGCAAGCAAAGCATTGAGACGATTTGTCTCTTACTTGCTTACAAGATAAAGTTCCCTGAAAACTTCTTCCTTCTTAGAGGAAACCACGAAAGTGCTTCCATCAATCGCATCTACGGCTTCTACGACGAGTGCAAACGCCGTTTCAGTGTCAAGATTTGGCGAATCTTCACCGATTGTTTCAACTGTCTCCCCGTGGCTGCACTTATCGATGACCGGATTCTCTGTATGCATGGTGGTCTCTCCCCGGAGCTGCTTAGCTTGAGACAGATTAGGGATATTCGTCGTCCGACGGATATTCCTGATCGTGGTTTACTCTGTGATCTCTTGTGGTCTGATCCTGATAAAGTGGTTAGAGGTTGGGGGCCTAACGATCGTGGAGTTTCTTATACATTTGGAGCAGATACAGTTTCAGGGTTTCTCAAAAGACTCGATCTTGACCTAATCTGTAGGGCTCATCAGGTTTGTTTGTTTGTTGTTACGTGTGCCCGAAGCAACCGTTTTTTTTGTTCTGTGTGTGATTTCTTTTGACACAAGCAACGGTTTGGTCTTAGGTTGTTGAAGATGGGTTTGAGTTCTTTGCCAATAAACAGCTCGTGACGATATTCTCTGCGCCGAATTACTGTGGAGAATTTGATAATGCAGGTGCGATGATGAGTGTGGACGATGATCTGACTTGCTCTTTTCAGATCTTAAAACCTAATGAGAAGAAATCGAAATTTGGTTTTGGAGGCAGAAGTGGTGCTAAAACTAGCTTCCCTTATCCTAAAGTCAAGGTATGTTATCAATCACATAACTTTTCAAGTTTTCATTAGATGAGTTAAATCACATAACGGCATAATCTCTAACTATTTGATCGAAATATTTAATTTGCAGTCGATTCTGAGCTCTCAAAGTTCGAAAGAATACAACTGATGAAGATCTGATGATTCACGATGACTTCTGAAATGCGTACAAGTTCAGCATTCATCACACACGTGTGAGAATGTCGGAAGAATTGAGTTTGGTTTTTGGTTCCATAACACTGAGCATGTTTAGCAATCATGCCAACGTAGTTCGACTACATGATGAAGTCATGTCATGGTATGAGAGCAAGAGGATTTTTGGAAGCTTCTTAGTTTTTTTATTTTGTCACTGTGTGTGTGCTTCTTCTTTTTTTCTCGTTGTAAATTTGGTTTGTAATTGTTGGTGTACTAAATTTAATAAAACATATTCTGTGTCCAAAAAAAGAAAAGAAGAAAAAACAGGTTTTCCTTTGGGCAAAAAAACACAAACAATACCAAAATCTATACCCAAACCATTTTATTAAGTTTGTGATACAATGTTCTCTTGATATACAGCATCAACATAGAAGAAGCTTTGTGCAAAATTCCATTTCAATTCCATTTCTTTCTTTGGCCATTTAAGCTATTTATCCTAAAAATATTAATTTATTTTAAACATGACTAGTAAAAAAAATCAAAATTTAAAAGGTTTCTTTGACATTGTTGATAAGAGTACAAAGAGTAGATTACAAGATTTGCACTCAAGGCAGTAAGATTGAAGTATTCCACATTACAAACATTCATTTTAGTGCATCACACAAAGGGACATAAAAAATAGAAAAGAAAAACAAATCAAGCAAGCAACAAAAAGCAATACATTTGATCATTTCTCAACAACCTCAGCCTCAGTCTCACCGGAGAGCTCTTCGAGAGACTTACCCTTGGGCTCAGGGACAAGGAAGGTAAAGCATACCGATGAAGTTAATGACACCAAGCATGATCAAAGAGTTCTTGACTCCGATGCCCGGTGGATATCCTGCGTCCGTCTTGGTCTTGTCTTGTGGCTGAGCTGCGTATAGGAACCCAAAAGCTCCCACGATGGCTCCAGCCTTACCTGTTGCGGCTGATATTCCATGGCATGTGGACCTTAGCCTGGCCGGGAAGATCTCAGCCGGGACGATGAAAGTGGTTGCATTTGGTCCAAAGTTGGCGAAGAAAAAGGTGAGAGAGTACATGACCACGAATCCGATACGGTTGTCCGGTTTGATCCAGTGGTTGTAAGGGAAGGCAATGGCAAACATGAACACGGTCATCATGAAGAATCCCATGAGCTGGATCGCAAATCTTCCCATGATATCAATAAATGCAACTGTGAACCAGTAACCAGGGACGGTACTACAGAGCGCAATGAGAGTTTGTGCCCTCGCAATCTTGAAAACCTCGTGGATTGCATTCATGGTGCTGCCTTTGGGATCCATCCAATAGCCGAAAAGATATCCTTCTGGAACAAGTTTTGGCTGTAGAAGGCAATGTCAAGCAAGAACCAAGTGGAGGTACATCCGAGGAGGGGAAGACCATGGCGCTTGGAATTCCTTGGAGAACAAGCCATAGTTAAGTCTAGGGTCTTGAACGATATCCTCTGCCCTCTCTTCCATCTCAAGCTCCACTTGTAAGACCTTAGACATGTCTTGTGTGGCCTGTTTGATGTTTTTGGCCACCAAAGCGGTGTAACGAGCAGTTTCGGGCATCTTCATACGCCAGTAGTAAGTCAAGGCTGCAGGTAGTGCACCAAACATGACAATAATTCGCCAAATGTAATCAGCTTGAGGAGGCGTTGAGAGAACCCTGTCTTCCGCATAGGTGGTGATGGGAACTGTTTGTCGAAGATGGAAGACACTGCAAGTGCCACGAAACCTCCGGCCAAGATACCGATACCTTGCATAGCGAACACGGCCGCGATGAAAGCACCACGAGTCTTCTTGTTGGCGTATTCAGACATGATGGTGGCAGAAAGAGGGTAGTCACCTCCAATACCGAATCCCAGCCAAAACCTAGATAAAAATTTGGTATATATATTTGTAAGTTTTCTATATATATTATCAAGTAAGTCATGTGTATATGTTATGATAACTATACCTGAAGAAGCAAAGAGTGGTCATGACACCCTTGGCTTGTTTCCGAAAGATAAGACCAGAAGCGACGGAGCACACGATCATCATGATTAAAGTGATACCATACACTTTTTTCCTTCCAAGCTTGTCACCGAGCCATCCGAAAAATAGTTGACCCATAAGTGTCCCACATAGAGCCACACCGTTGACCGCAGCCGCAACATGAGGGGGAAGACTGCCAGGCTTCTCTGAGGCCGGATTGAAGTAGTAGAGACGGCCAAGGAGCTTTGTCACCAGGGAAACGCAAAAAGATCGTATGCGTCTGTAAAGAATCCCATACCGGCGATGACAATCGCTGTGAAATGGTAAAGTTGCGTTTTCGCAACATCGAGTGCCTTAAGCACTCCTAGTTGCTGTTCGGCCATCTCAGCCTGCTTGTCTCTCCTGTTTTTAAGCGGTAAGAGTTAATATTGTGTATGGGCCGACTTTTGTTTATGTTCCAACTTCTACGTAATATATATATATATATATATATTTAATATTTATATAATTAAGAGAAAGACTTTTTAAAATTTTAGCTGATTGAAACTATACGTAACCAAATAATTTAAGCGAGTGCAAACAAATGTAAAGCATAAGAAAACAAAAAATAGTTTAAGCAAGTGCAAACAAAAGTTATAATCATACTATAACAATTTATCATATATATGTTTGAGGGTGTTACTAATATTACCGTCACGGTATGTTGGTTGTGGCGAAGGACGAGGCAAGAAAGATAACTATTGAGAGAAAGAGGTAGAGAGAGGTGGTCGTTGTGATTGTTGTGTCTGAGACGGCGGAAATTTATAGAGGAGATCGGAGAAGCATAGTCTCCGGCATCTTAAAGGTATATCCACATTTTTATTATACTTTAATTTAATTTGCATCATTTTTTTAACATCTCTTTCTTGCTCTTCTGGGTATGTTATGTATGGTCTGCACATACTTTCGCTTCCTTTTAATAATCTATAATTAGTATCAATGACATCGTTATGAGAGATTTATGATCATGGACTCATTCTTTGTTTGGTCCAACCAATTAAATAAATCCTATTACCTTAAGTGGATTAGCAAGTACCTGTAAATATCAATAAATCATAGAATTGGTATGCAATTAGTTATAAGATGTGTATAACTTGTACTGCGAACGAATATCCAGTTCCTATTTGACAGAGAACTAATGCTAAGAACTTGGTATGCAATCATTTTTTTGCTCTCAACAATAAGCATCAAGTCGGTTTAAATCTAGATGGACACATCGAAAAATAACACAAACTATTAAGCTATATATATATATATCCTGTAAAGGTATACACACCTTTTGTGTAATTTCTGAGAACTTTAATATATATACACATATTTTTTTGGTAAGTTTAATTATGTTGCAAAGGGAAAAGGTAGTCTGATTTTTGTATGTCGACAAAGCGTACTCGATTTGTATCTTCATAATTACTAAAGATGGAGTTGACTTTCATTGTACAAAATTAAATTCTTCATGAGATTCATCTTACAATTTTTTTCTTTACCACTTATTTTATTGGAACTATATGGAAACCATCTAACAAGTTATCTTATAACCTATCACGTATCTCCATACTAAAGTCCACTTTACTTGTTTTCTTTTGTTTTGAAAGTTACTAATTAGATTAATAAAAACATCATTTTCAAAAAAAAAAAAAAAGTCAGCCATTTTCATGAAAAGAAAAAGAAGACCATAAAAAATAGTCTTCGAAATAAAACTGAAATATGTGAAATATATATAGAATCGATATTTTTGAAGTGATGTCCAAACAAGTTGTGGTTGCTTATGGAATAGAGCTAGATATTTTTAGCTCAAACTAATCCAAGTAACAAGGCTCCCACTAAAAAAAAGTTGAGGCCTTGTATTCATATGAATTATACGTTTTTATTATTTGCATCAGAGTATATACCCACATCAATATTATTCAAGACAATTTTACAGTTAATGCATAGCTTATATATGGATTAGTTATATATATAGCTGTAACGATAGCAGTCAAAAATACAAAAATCATTTTTATATTTTAGTGTGTTGTATAATTGCTGCAAAAAGTCAATGCGTGATGTGCTGTATGAACGTATCGATTAATGCAGCCACACACCACATTTCTGGATAAAGTCAGAGAAAAAGAGATCATTTGCAACGTAGGACTGATGTATCTAACCTATTAGAGCATGTCCATCGGAGTCTCAGGGTGGGTTTTTAAGTGGGTATCAAGCTGATTATTTTTTAAAAATAATGTTTTAATCACACAATATGGCTGAGACGTATATAGGCGAAGAGACGAATCAGGCTCTGCTGATACCCTTACGTGTCACCCTGTGGTTGGGTGATTAAAAAAAAGTAAAATGGGAAAACGAAGAAATCCATCTCCCATTTTCCTCAACATTTCCGTCATGTTCAGACTCCGCAGCAGCACCATTCGATAGCTTCTCATTTCCATCTCTATCCGGTAAGAAACATTAATGGATCAATTCGATTTCTTCTCTGCAAATCGGAATTATTTTGGGCTCTAATGCAATTTGTGGTATTCGCAGTTGGTGGAGAAATTAAACGATGCGATTGAAAGTGGAACTCGAGATCAAAATTCTGATGCACTGGTTTGTTTTTCCTTTCTTCGCTCTTTCAAAAATTTCCAGTCTTTAGGTGGATTTTTAGGGTTTTTGGATGTTGAATTGTGGAAATTGCAGGTGAGTGAATTGAATAGCCATTTTGAGAAGTGTCAACAGCTCTTGAATTCGATTTCAGGATCATTAGGATCTAAAACTATGGTATGAACAAAAGTTTTTAAACAAAGTTTGATTGCTTCCGATCCTTTGGCTTTGCTTATGGGAATTGACTACTGATGTGTTTATAGACTGTTGATGGACAAAAGCGAAATCTAGAAGAAAGTGAACAATTGCTGCAACAAAGAAGGTAAAGCAAAATTATCACATGATATCATCTTTTGTTTGATCATTATGATCTTGCTCTTACTTTGTGTTTTTAAATCCTTGGTTAGGGAATTGATTGTGGAATATAGAAGATCTATTGAAGAGCTTGTGAAGATAGAGCCTTAGTTAGTTCCATGTTTCTCCCAACATGTTTTGAATATTCATTCACTTATTCTCTTTTGGATTGTGTTCACCCTGAGATTTGAAATAACAAGTGTTTAACTTGATATTTTGTATATCGGAGCTATTGTGGAGAAAAGAGAGGAACTATTGCTTTGCCACTTATGGAAACTCAGAGGTTGTTATCTACGACAACTTCATGAAACTCAACTTGGCAGGTTCAGATCCAAAGAAGCCTCTGGGATGTTCAGAATCCGAGGAGCTGCGATAACACGTGCCTGTGGCTGTTCCTGACTCTTCAGGGCTAGAACGACTTATTTCTCTGCCACTACGGGCTCGGTCTTTCTCTTGACCACTCTTGCTTCCTCTGCAGGATTACATGAGCTTGAGCTTCTCATTTGATCTGCCACGCGAAGACTCAACCATAGATTGAGTGGTTGTGCTCGGATCTACAGCTGTTTTCTCTTCACTGTGTTGTAGCTGAACAACTGAACTTGTGTTCGGCCGAGAACTTGAATTTGTTCTCGGTACCAACTGCTTCCTCCTGTTCTTTATCTTTGTTTGATCCTTTAATAAAGCAGAGTATAATTAAGCAAAGTAATGCTATGAGTAAAAAGCTGAGAAATCATTCTTTTAGTACCATCTCCTTGCCAAAGGTTTGCATACAATGCTCTCTGCCTCTCCTTTGCCCGGCAAATCACTCATTTGTGTTTTTTTTTCTTTCTTTAATATGTTTTTGTTTAGATACTTGGATATCACCATTGGAAGGGTAAAACTTATTTATCATATGCAAGTCTCTTAAACAAAAAAATAACAAAATTTATTAATAAAAAATGTTGTGATACCCATATGAGGGTATCACCAATGGACATGCTCTAAGATAACTCGTAATGCAAAGATACAAAATTTTAACCAAGTGGTTTTGGTATTGTGGTTTCCAGTTGAGGATGAATTGTCTCTTAAACATGAAATTATCTAGTCATTTTATGCTACTTAAAATTGTATCACGCTTTGAACCATTAAAAACCTGGTGAGTGGCCGTGGGCTATTCCACTGCTACACAGCCTACACTCACCCTAAAAGGGATAAGTTGAGTGGTCAAATCTCGTATCACCGTCTGGTTATTAAGAAAACAAATATACATAGATTTAAGATGGTTTAGTAATGATGTATTGACTACGTTTACAGAAAAAAAGGACAAATGCACCTGACTTTTATTCCTAACAGATGTGGTACTACAATGTTTATTTTTATTTTTATTCTTTTAGAACTGCTTTTATTTATCTTCCGCGGGACATCCTTACATACTAGGGACAATTACTTACCTTTACAAGGCTTAAAAACAACAAAGAAGAAACACACATGAAGCAAGCAATAACCAGAGATCACGCAATAGAATTAAGGCTGGAAATGATTGAACCAAGAGTAAAGGAACAATGGGTCATCTGAAGTTGAGACTGAACCTGCACCAGAAGTGTTCATTGCAGCAATTCGATCCAGGCTGAACAGCTTTGATCTCAAAGTAACCTGAATTTCTTTAATCACTGCTGAAAATGGCCTCCTTCCCGGAGCGTGAAGTCTCAATTTCTTTCTTTCCAGATGAAATATACCACAAGTTGACAATAACATTGACCTTTGCATTCCGAGAAGAACAATTTATCTAGGAATCTATTCCATTAAAAGTTATCGGCGGAATAATAGAAGGGGATGTGAAGAAAGCTCTCCAAACCTGTGTGGAATATGAACAAGAGAAGAACATATTGTCTCTGTTTTCCAGTGACCCTCCACATAACAAACACTCCGGAGAAACATTTAAACCCCAACTCAAAAGTCTGTCTTTTGTTGGCAATCTATCTCGCATGATAACCCACAAAATGAAAGTGGGAATTCTCTCTGAAAACCACACCGTTTTGGTCCAGGGGAGAGAGGGAGAAGAAGGATGAAGAGAATCCAGGTCTTTGCCGAAGAAAAGATTCCTGGTGGAGGTCCAATCGTGTTTCTCCACAGGAAGAAGTCGTCTAGAGGTGAATTTTTGTCTGGAAGCTCGTTTGGGAGGCACGCCTTCAAAAGGGTAATGATAGGATGTCTTCCATGAGGAAGAGCCCAAGCTCCGCCTCTCAACACCTGACTCACCGTTGCTAGAGATCTGATCCATGTAACTCTCGGACCGTTAGCTCCAGAAAGAGCGGACCTAAACCAGTCCAATTATCATACCCAAAATACGCTGAGTTCCCTGACTGAAGCTGGCAGATTAGATAAGGACGGGCTAGAGAACGAAGTTTCATTAATTTCCTCCAAATCCAAGAACCTGACTGACGGAAGTCCACATTCCACAACAAGCGACATCCAATAATCTGCCAGCTTCAATCAGGTATTACAATGTTAAATATACTATACTTCATTTTTTTGCCTCAGATGTCCCTTCGAGCCAGATTAACAACTTGTAATGTTCATCATAGCTATTAGCTGTCTTTACTTACTTTCTTCTCCTAAATCATTATCCTCTTACTATTCAGGGAGAGATAACATCAATAGGATTGGTGTTTTCACGAAGAACCCGATCTTTGGCTACCCCTAAACAGATTGCACTTTAACTATAACAATGCAATGTAGCGTAATTATGATGCAAACCCATATCACCAATACGATGCAAACCCATATCATCTTTTACCTTGTTGTAGACACAATAATTACATAGGCTCCCTTTGTGATTCAATATTACCCTGTCTTTTTATTCACAAATATACACCATGTCACCATCTTACCTACAATGCATGAAAGATTGAAAGTTCACCAAAAATCTGATGATCTGAACCGCAACATAATCAAAACTTCAATAATCGTGATTAACATTATCTTGCAATTATTTTCATATTATGGGGTTAGAATTCCTAATGTAAATACTTTTAAAATTATATGATATAACATATATTTGTTGCAGATTAGTTTCTTACACAAATTAATATGTTGGCTTCCTATACATATATCCTTTATTAACACATTGCACATTTTTCTATCTAATTAATCAAATAAAAAATTTCATACAAAATGACGCTTATTCTTAACGGGGGAACAATAATTAGCAGTTCTTTGTAAATTGATAAATGGTCTCACAAAAAAAACAATAGTAGAAGTTTACCATGAGAAATTACACGTCAGGTATCACAAAACCGTAAAATGAAAGAATTATTAAAACCAGTAAAAATAACAAATTGAAGATACTTGTCGTAATCATTTCTCAACCTCAGTCTCACCGGAGAGCTCTTCAAGGGACTTACCCTTGGGCTCAGGAACAAGGAAGGTGAAGAGCATACCGATGAAGTTAATGACACCAAGCATGATCAATGAGTTCTTGACTCCGATGCCCGGTGGATATCCTGCATCCGTCTTGGTCTTGTCTTGTGGCTGAGCTGCGTATAGGAACCCAAAAGCTCCCACGATGGCTCCAGCCTTACCTGTTGCGGCTGATATTCCATGGCATGTGGACCTTAGCCTGGCCGGGAAGATCTCAGCCGGGACGATGAAAGTGGTTGCATTTGGTCCAAAGTTGGCGAAGAAAAAGGTGAGTGAGTACATGACCACGAATCCGATACGGTTGTCCGGTTTGATCCAGTGGTTGTAAGGGAAGGCAATGGCAAACATGAACACGGTCATCATGAAGAATCCCATGAGTTGGATTGCAAATCTTCCCATAATATCAATAAATGCAACTGTGAACCAGTAACCGGGGACGGTACTACAGAGCGCAATGAGAGTTTGTGCCCTAGCAATCATGAAAACCTCGTGGATTCCGTTCATGGTCGCTGCCTTTGGGATCCATCCAATAGCCGAAAAGATATCCTTCTGGAACAAGTTTTGGCTGTAGAAGGCAATGTCAAGCAAGAACCAAGTGGAGGTACATCCGAGGAGGGGAAGACCATGGCGTTTGGCAATTCCTTGGAGAACAAGCCATAGTTAAGTCTAGGGTCTTGAACGATATCCTCCGCCCTCTCTTCCATCTCAAGCTCCACTTGTAAGACCTTAGACATGTCTTGTGTGGCTTGTTTGATGTTCTTGGCGACCAAAGCGGTGTAACGAGCAGTCTCAGGCATCTTCATACGCCAGTAGTAAGTCAAGGCTGCTGGTAGGCACCAAACATGACAATGATTCTCCAAATGTAATCAGCTTGAGGAGGCGTTGAGAGAGCCCTGTCGACGCATAGGTCGGTGATGGGAACTTCTTGTCGAATATGGAAGACACCGCAAGAGCCACGAAACCACCGGCTAAGATACCGACACCTTGCATAGCGAACACGGCCGCGATGAAAGCACCACGAGTCTTCTTGTTAGCGTATTCAGACATGATGGTGGCAGAAAGAGGGTAGTCACCTCCAATACCGAATCCTAACCAAAACCTATCATCATCATATCATATTTTAGTATTTATTTCCATTTAATAAATTTGAATCCTTAAAACTCGACCAACAATAAAATATTGATATATAGAGCATGTGTATATATTTTAATCATAATTGGGTTGTACCTGAAGAAGCAAAGGGTGGTCATGACACCCTTTGCTTTGCTACCAAAGGAGAGGCCAGAAGCGACAGAGCACACAATCATCATGATTAAAGTGATACCATACACTTTTTTCCTTCCAAGCTTGTCACCGAGCCATCCGAAAAATAGTTGACCCATAAGTGTCCCACAGAGAGCCACACCGTTGACCGCAGCCGCAACATGAGGGGGAAGACTGCCAGGCTTCTCTGACGCCGGATTGAAGTAGTAGAGACGGCCAAGGAGCTTGGTCACCAGGGACACGCAAAAAAGATCGTATGCGTCTGTAAAGAATCCCATACCGGCGATGACAATCGCCGTGAAATGGTAAAGTTGCGTTTTCGCAACATCGAGTGCCTTCAGCACTCCTAGTTGTTGTTCAGCCATTGCCTTAACCAAACAATAAAAATAAATTCCAATGTCATTAGTTCTAACGTTCTATATATATATATATATATATTGGTTCATAATCTGTCATGGGTAGATTATGAATAGGATCTGTCATGGGTAGGTATCTTTCTATGGGTATGAATAGGACCTTTGTATGGCCAACATTTTATAAAATGACTAAATTAGAAAACGTTCTTATGGTAATAAATCTTTAAAATTAAGAAAAATTAAAAATTAATAAACACAGTAAATTAAAAAAAAAAAAAAAATCAGTACCAAGTTGGGCTAGTTAAAATATAACACAAATTGTAAGAAACATGTGTAATATATGGTCTGTTATCATAAATTAATAATTACTATACAAAAAATTAAAAATATATAAGTATGATAATATACTTGATTATAGTATTGTTGGTTTTTAATTAAAATCAAAATATTTTAGAACTCATAGTTTTAGAGTGAAACTTTAGTAAATAATAGAAATTTGAATACAATACGTTAAAATAAGTTTTAATAATTTTTTAATTCAAAACCTAGAAATTAATAATTTTATGAGTTACTAAAATATCAAATTCTTAACAATAGTAATTTATCGAGTTTCTACTTTCTACTGTATAAACAAAATTTGACAAAGGCAACGAACAATCACCTTATCAGATTTGAAGGAGATTAAAAACTTTTATGGAGAGAAAGAGGAAAGACTCAGAGAGAAGATATGTGATGATTATAAATGTAACAGTTATGGTGGCAATTTATAGAGATGAAGAGGCAGAACAGGTTTTCGAAATAGAAAGAGATGTGAGCAACGTGGTCGCCTGCTTCGTCTTGACTATTTATTTTGCAAGTGATCCACTGATACCATTACGGCGGCTTTAGTCAATGTTCGGCATATTCGTTATAGTGGCAGAATAAATGCTGTAATCCATCGTCTTATCATATAAAATTGTACTTGTCAATATTTTTCTACTAAGAAACTTATGCTCCTTTTGCTTTTAAAAGATGAATGATTTGGAGTTTTCACATATATTACAAAAGACAAATTGAAATTGTACTATAAATATATCATTTTGTGATTAACAATTTTATTTATTATTAACTAATGGTAAATTGGTAATTCAATAATTTCAATCGATTTTACAATTCATCATTATTAACTAATAAAAAAATGTCTTGAAAACAGAAAACATTCATCTGTTTTAACAAAAAATTTCCTTTTGACAAAAAAAAAACAAAAAAAAAACAAATTTTTTCCGAAACATATTTTTAAAAAACATAGGGAATATTTTTTTTTTTCTTTTTATCCAAGCCAGAGTAGCATATTTTACATACATGGATCTTAAAAAGAAGATATACTCATATAATATAGAAATTAAGAAGTAGGTATGTAATGATTGTAATTTAGATTTTTTTTTTTTNTTTTAATCACACAATATGGCTGAGACGTATATAGGCGAAGAGACGAATCAGGCTCTGCTGATACCCTTACGTGTCACCCTGTGGTTGGGTGATTAAAAAAAAGTAAAATGGGAAAACGAAGAAATCCATCTCCCATTTTCCTCAACATTTCCGTCATGTTCAGACTCCGCAGCAGCACCATTCGATAGCTTCTCATTTCCATCTCTATCCGGTAAGAAACATTAATGGATCAATTCGATTTCTTCTCTGCAAATCGGAATTATTTTGGGCTCTAATGCAATTTGTGGTATTCGCAGTTGGTGGAGAAATTAAACGATGCGATTGAAAGTGGAACTCGAGATCAAAATTCTGATGCACTGGTTTGTTTTTCCTTTCTTCGCTCTTTAAAAATTTCCAGTCTTTAGGTGGATTTTTAGGGTTTTTGGATGTTGAATTGTGGAAATTGCAGGTGAGTGAATTGAATAGCCATTTTGAGAAGTGTCAACAGCTCTTGAATTCGATTTCAGGATCATTAGGATCTAAAACTATGGTATGAACAAAAGTTTTTAAACAAAGTTTGATTGCTTCCGATCCTTTGGCTTTGCTTATGGGAATTGACTACTGATGTGTTTATAGACTGTTGATGGACAAAAGCGAAATCTAGAAGAAAGTGAACAATTGCTGCAACAAAGAAGGTAAAGCAAAATTATCACATGATATCATCTTTTGTTTGATCATTATGATCTTGCTCTTACTTTGTGTTTTTAAATCCTTGGTTAGGGAATTGATTGTGGAATATAGAAGATCTATTGAAGAGCTTGTGAAGATAGAGCCTTAGTTAGTTCCATGTTTCTCCCAACATGTTTTGAATATTCATTCACTTATTCTCTTTTGGATTGTGTTCACCCTGAGATTTGAAATAACAAGTGTTTAACTTGATATTTTGTATATCGGAGCTATTGTGGAGAAAAGAGAGGAACTATTGCTTTGCCACTTATGGAAACTCAGAGGTTGTTATCTACGACAACTTCATGAAACTCAACTTGGCAGGTTCAGATCCAAAGAAGCCTCTGGGATGTTCAGAATCCGAGGAGCTGCGATAACACGTGCCTGTGGCTGTTCCTGACTCTTCAGGGCTAGAACGACTTATTTCTCTGCCACTACGGGCTCGGTCTTTCTCTTGACCACTCTTGCTTCCTCTGCAGGATTACATGAGCTTGAGCTTCTCATTTGATCTGCCACGCGAAGACTCAACCATAGATTGAGTGGTTGTGCTCGGATCTACAGCTGTTTTCTCTTCACTGTGTTGTAGCTGAACAACTGAACTTGTGTTCGGCCGAGAACTTGAATTTGTTCTCGGTACCAACTGCTTCCTCCTGTTCTTTATCTTTGTTTGATCCTTTAATAAAGCAGAGTATAATTAAGCAAAGTAATGCTATGAGTAAAAAGCTGAGAAATCATTCTTTTAGTACCATCTCCTTGCCAAAGGTTTGCATACAATGCTCTCTGCCTCTCCTTTGCCCGGCAAATCACTCATTTGTGTTTTTTTTTCTTTCTTTAATATGTTTTTGTTTAGATACTTGGATATCACCATTGGAAGGGTAAAACTTATTTATCATATGCAAGTCTCTTAAACAAAAAAATAACAAAATTTATTAATAAAAAATGTTGTGATACCCATATGAGGGTATCACCAATGGACATGCTCTAAGATAACTCGTAATGCAAAGATACAAAATTTTAACCAAGTGGTTTTGGTATTGTGGTTTCCAGTTGAGGATGAATTGTCTCTTAAACATGAAATTATCTAGTCATTTTATGCTACTTAAAATTGTATCACGCTTTGAACCATTAAAAACCTGGTGAGTGGCCGTGGGCTATTCCACTGCTACACAGCCTACACTCACCCTAAAAGGGATAAGTTGAGTGGTCAAATCTCGTATCACCGTCTGGTTATTAAGAAAACAAATATACATAGATTTAAGATGGTTTAGTAATGATGTATTGACTACGTTTACAGAAAAAAAGGACAAATGCACCTGACTTTTATTCCTAACAGATGTGGTACTACAATGTTTATTTTTATTTTTATTCTTTTAGAACTGCTTTTATTTATCTTCCGCGGGACATCCTTACATACTAGGGACAATTACTTACCTTTACAAGGCTTAAAAACAACAAAGAAGAAACACACATGAAGCAAGCAATAACCAGAGATCACGCAATAGAATTAAGGCTGGAAATGATTGAACCAAGAGTAAAGGAACAATGGGTCATCTGAAGTTGAGACTGAACCTGCACCAGAAGTGTTCATTGCAGCAATTCGATCCAGGCTGAACAGCTTTGATCTCAAAGTAACCTGAATTTCTTTAATCACTGCTGAAAATGGCCTCCTTCCCGGAGCGTGAAGTCTCAATTTCTTTCTTTCCAGATGAAATATACCACAAGTTGACAATAACATTGACCTTTGCATTCCGAGAAGAACAATTTATCTAGGAATCTATTCCATTAAAAGTTATCGGCGGAATAATAGAAGGGGATGTGAAGAAAGCTCTCCAAACCTGTGTGGAATATGAACAAGAGAAGAACATATTGTCTCTGTTTTCCAGTGACCCTCCACATAACAAACACTCCGGAGAAACATTTAAACCCCAACTCAAAAGTCTGTCTTTTGTTGGCAATCTATCTCGCATGATAACCCACAAAATGAAAGTGGGAATTCTCTCTGAAAACCACACCGTTTTGGTCCAGGGGAGAGAGGGAGAAGAAGGATGAAGAGAATCCAGGTCTTTGCCGAAGAAAAGATTCCTGGTGGAGGTCCAATCGTGTTTCTCCACAGGAAGAAGTCGTCTAGAGGTGAATTTTTGTCTGGAAGCTCGTTTGGGAGGCACGCCTTCAAAAGGGTAATGATAGGATGTCTTCCATGAGGAAGAGCCCAAGCTCCGCCTCTCAACACCTGACTCACCGTTGCTAGAGATCTGATCCATGTAACTCTCGGACCGTTAGCTCCAGAAAGAGCGGACCTAAACCAGTCCAATTATCATACCCAAAATACGCTGAGTTCCCTGACTGAAGCTGGCAGATTAGATAAGGACGGGCTAGAGAACGAAGTTTCATTAATTTCCTCCAAATCCAAGAACCTGACTGACGGAAGTCCACATTCCACAACAAGCGACATCCAATAATCTGCCAGCTTCAATCAGGTATTACAATGTTAAATATACTATACTTCATTTTTTTGCCTCAGATGTCCCTTCGAGCCAGATTAACAACTTGTAATGTTCATCATAGCTATTAGCTGTCTTTACTTACTTTCTTCTCCTAAATCATTATCCTCTTACTATTCAGGGAGAGATAACATCAATAGGATTGGTGTTTTCACGAAGAACCCGATCTTTGGCTACCCCTAAACAGATTGCACTTTAACTATAACAATGCAATGTAGCGTAATTATGATGCAAACCCATATCACCAATACGATGCAAACCCATATCATCTTTTACCTTGTTGTAGACACAATAATTACATAGGCTCCCTTTGTGATTCAATATTACCCTGTCTTTTTATTCACAAATATACACCATGTCACCATCTTACCTACAATGCATGAAAGATTGAAAGTTCACCAAAAATCTGATGATCTGAACCGCAACATAATCAAAACTTCAATAATCGTGATTAACATTATCTTGCAATTATTTTCATATTATGGGGTTAGAATTCCTAATGTAAATACTTTTAAAATTATATGATATAACATATATTTGTTGCAGATTAGTTTCTTACACAAATTAATATGTTGGCTTCCTATACATATATCCTTTATTAACACATTGCACATTTTTCTATCTAATTAATCAAATAAAAAATTTCATACAAAATGACGCTTATTCTTAACGGGGGAACAATAATTAGCAGTTCTTTGTAAATTGATAAATGGTCTCACAAAAAAAACAATAGTAGAAGTTTACCATGAGAAATTACACGTCAGGTATCACAAAACCGTAAAATGAAAGAATTATTAAAACCAGTAAAAATAACAAATTGAAGATACTTGTCGTAATCATTTCTCAACCTCAGTCTCACCGGAGAGCTCTTCAAGGGACTTACCCTTCGGCTCAGGAACAAGGAAGGTGAAGAGCATACCGATGAAGTTAATGACACCAAGCATGATCAAAGAGTTCTTGACTCCGATGCCCGGTGGATATCCTGCGTCCGTCTTGGTCTTGTCTTGTGGCTGAGCTGCGTATAGGAACCCAAAAGCTCCCACGATGGCTCCAGCCTTACCTGTTGCGGCTGATATTCCATGGCATGTGGACCTTAGCCTGGCCGGGAAGATCTCAGCCGGGACGATGAAAGTGGTTGCATTTGGTCCAAAGTTGGCGAAGAAAAAGGTGAGAGAGTACATGACCACGAATCCGATACGGTTGTCTGGTTTGATCCAGTGGTTGTAAGGGAAGGCAATGGCAAACATGAACACGGTCATCATGAAGAATCCCATGAGCTGGATCGCAAATCTTCCCATGATATCAATAAACGCGACTGTGAACCAGTAACCAGGGACGGTACTACAGAGCGCAATGAGAGTTTGTGCCCTCGCGATCTTGAAAACTTCGTGGATTGCATTCATGGTTGCTGCCTTTGGGATCCATCCAATAGCCGAAAAGATATCCTTCTGGAACAAGTTTTGGCTGTAGAAGGCAATATCAAGCAAGAACCAAGTGGAGGTACATCCGAGGAGAGGAAGACCATGGCGCTTAAGGAATTCCTTGGAGAACAAGCCATAGTTAAGTCTAGGGTCTTTAACAATATCCTCTGCCCTCTCTTCCATCTCAAGCTCCACTTGTAAGACCTTAGACATGTCTTGTGTGGCCTGTTTGATGTTTTTGGCCACCAAAGCGGTGTAACGAGCAGTTTCGGGCATCTTCATACGCCAGTAGTAAGTCAAGGCTGCAGGTAGTGCACCAAACATGACAATAATTCGCCAAATGTAATCAGCTTGAGGTGGCGTTGAGAGAACCCTGTCTTCAGCATAGGTCGGTGATGGGAACTGTTTGTCGAAGATGGAAGAAACTGCAAGTGCCACGAAACCTCCGGCCAAGATACCGATACCTTGCATAGCGAACACGGCCGCGATGAAAGCACCACGAGTCTTCTTGTTGGCATATTCAGACATGATGGTGGCAGAAAGAGGGTAGTCACCTCCAATACCGAATCCCAGCCAAAACCTATCATCATTAAAATTTTATATTATTTTAATTTTCCTTATCGAGCAACAATGAATATTGATATATAAGTCATGTGTATATATTTAAATCATAACTTTGTACCTGAAAGAAGCAAAGGGTGGTCATGACACCCTTGGCTTTGTTTCCGAAAGAGACCAGAAGCGACGGAGCACACAATCATCATGATTAAAGTGATACCATACACTTTTTTCCTTCCAAGCTTGTCACCGAGCCATCCGAAAAAAGTTGACCCATAAGTGTCCCACATAGAGCCACACCGTTGACCGCAGCCGCAACATGAGGGGGAAGACTGCCAGGCTTCTCTGAGGCCGGATTGAAGTAGTAGAGACGGCCAAGGAGCTTTGTCACCAGGGAAACGCAAAAAAGATCGTACGCGTCTGTAAAGAATCCCATACCGGCGATGACAATCGCCGTGAAATGGTAAAGTTGCGTTTTCGCAACATCGAGTGCCTTCAGCACTCCTAGTTGTTGTTCAGCCATTGCCTTAACCAAACAATAAAAATAAATTCCAATGTCATTAGTTCTAACGTTCTATATATATATATATATATATTGGTTCATAATCTGTCATGGGTAGATTATGAATAGGATCTGTCATGGGTAGGTATCTTTCTATGGGTATGAATAGGACCTTTGTATGGCCAACATTTTATAAAATGACTAAATTAGAAAACGTTCTTATGGTAATAAATCTTTAAAATTAAGAAAAATTAAAAATTAATAAACACAGTAAATTAAAAAAAAAAAAAAAATCAGTACCAAGTTGGGCTAGTTAAAATATAACACAAATTGTAAGAAACATGTGTAATATATGGTCTGTTATCATAAATTAATAATTACTATACAAAAAATTAAAAATATATAAGTATGATAATATACTTGATTATAGTATTGTTGGTTTTTAATTAAAATCAAAATATTTTAGAACTCATAGTTTTAGAGTGAAACTTTAGTAAATAATAGAAATTTGAATACAATACGTTAAAATAAGTTTTAATAATTTTTTAATTCAAAACCTAGAAATTAATAATTTTATGAGTTACTAAAATATCAAATTCTTAACAATAGTAATTTATCGAGTTTCTACTTTCTACTGTATAAACAAAATTTGACAAAGGCAACGAACAATCACCTTATCAGATTTGAAGGAGATTAAAAACTTTTATGGAGAGAAAGAGGAAAGACTCAGAGAGAAGATATGTGATGATTATAAATGTAACAGTTATGGTGGCAATTTATAGAGATGAAGAGGCAGAACAGGTTTTCGAAATAGAAAGAGATGTGAGCAACGTGGTCGCCTGCTTCGTCTTGACTATTTATTTTGCAAGTGATCCACTGATACCATTACGGCGGCTTTAGTCAATGTTCGGCATATTCGTTATAGTGGCAGAATAAATGCTGTAATCCATCGTCTTATCATATAAAATTGTACTTGTCAATATTTTTCTACTAAGAAACTTATGCTCCTTTTGCTTTTAAAAGATGAATGATTTGGAGTTTTCACATATATTACAAAAGACAAATTGAAATTGTACTATAAATATATCATTTTGTGATTAACAATTTTATTTATTATTAACTAATGGTAAATTGGTAATTCAATAATTTCAATCGATTTTACAATTCATCATTATTAACTAATAAAAAAATGTCTTGAAAACAGAAAACATTCATCTGTTTTAACAAAAAATTTCCTTTTGACAAAAAAAAAACAAAAAAAAAACAAATTTTTTCCGAAACATATTTTTAAAAAACATAGGGAATATTTTTTTTTTTCTTTTTATCCAAGCCAGAGTAGCATATTTTACATACATGGATCTTAAAAAGAAGATATACTCATATAATATAGAAATTAAGAAGTAGGTATGTAATGATTGTAATTTAGATTTTTTTTTTTTTTTTTTTGACAACAGGGTTGTAATTTAGATTAATACACATTATATTTATAATTTTGGATCATTATGCCCTTATGAAAGAGAGGGATGGAAGTATAAAAATTATCGTGTATACCTCAAGAAGCGTATTGTGAAAAATAGAGTTAAACGAGTTATCATACAATAAAAAAAATGAAATTATCATGTTAACCAAGTTATGATATCGTAATTCATTGTGTTAATTTTGTTATGGTGATAATCACGGTCCTAACCTCATTATCAAGAGGTCCCTTAGCCTAGTGGTTGATTAAGAGATTTAATGCTTCTACACCAGGAGTAGGAGGTCTAAAGATTGGTGCTCTGTAACCTCATTATCATTTCATGCAAAATATATTGATTTACTAACTTTGTTAACCTTGCAAATTACGCCTCTTATTGTGCTAATTGCTAAACCTTTCACCCATGCATGAAGTCCGAGTCCACCGCCGCTCATCGGTTTCCATCTCCATGACTCCATCATGTGTCTCCCGTGTAGCTCTCCCTCTGGCCGCCTTATATGGTTTCTCGCTCCCCTGAAGCCGTTTATCCCCTGAAGCTGTTTCTCCCTCCGTTGCCGCCGTATTTCGTCCTCCATCGCCCATATTTCGCCTAGACCTATCTGGTTCGATCTCCTGTTTTGGCGGATCCTCTTCGCTCCTCGTTGGTTATCCAGCGAAGTTTTCCACAAACCCTCCACATCCACGAGGTTCCCCTGGCCCTCCAGACTTAATTGGATCTTAGCAGTCACCAGTTCTAGCCATTTTGTCTCAGTCGCGGTATCTGCTATGCCGAATGTACGCGTCATTTACCTGCTGGAGTTTCTCAGCATCATCTCCTTCATCTCTTCCTTATCCGGTTCAGACACCCTCAAAGGCGCAAACAATTGTTATATTTTCCCTTCCAACCTTGTTGCGCTACTCACGTTCTATGGACTTGCTTGGATTTGGAGTTGGTCCTGTTTTTCCTTTGTGGATTAATGCCAGTGATGTAAGTGTTGTCCCCTTTCTTCCACTGTCAAACCGGTCCTAGCCGGAGAATTTTACTATGCCGTTTTGGAGATCTCTGTTCACAATTGCTATTCCGTGGAGAAAATATGGATGCACGAGTTACTCTATATTTTTTGTAAAGTATCATCTCACTTCCATAAAGGATTCCTTATACACCTTTCTATAATTGATGGTTCATGTAGTCATTCATCTTGACATAATCTCACTGTAAAAACTAAATTTGAGGATGATCAAAGGAACAATTCTAGCAAAAGAAAAAAAATATATATCAAAGGAACAATTTTGGGTTAGATCAGTTTCAGCAGGGATCAATTTGACCAATTTCAGATTGTATGATTTCAATTTGGATTGGGACGACGGTTCAAGTAATGATATCATTTTGAGTTTCATAGTTTCTATATCATTTTTTAGATTCACATCACCAACACTGTGGTAAGCTTATCATAAACACAAGACTTCACGAGTATAATCGTAGATTAAAACCTATCTTCTCGATTTGGTTGTTAATTTGACCATAATAGCAAACCCAAAAATGATCGTCTTATAGCTGGATAATATTAGGCCCTAAGTATTTGCCGTGCAAAGCTTATAAACAAATATAATCTATTTGTCAAACCCAGTTTTCTACTAAAGTTTGGCGCTGGGACACCTTGGTTAATTCATACCTCAAAAGTAAAAAATGTTCTATTCATAAACCAATTTCAACTATAATTTTTATTACCTTATACACCAGTAACACCACATAATCACTCTTGTCTTTGTCACCTGCGATAATTTTTATTTTGAGTACTTTTTTCTTTGTCAACCTCTGTATAGTTTTACATATTTTGATTTTGATTAATATATATTGAAAATGAAAACTATTAGGTATATCTATGATAATTTTCATAAAAAATTGTAACTTAAAAAAAATATCATCACTGTTTTGATTTTTCTAATATTGAATGAATCATTTATTCTCAACTAATTCTACGAGAGCACTACAGTTTTTATCTTGCAATTTAGCTCGAGTAACCAAATTTGTATGTACAATTTAGCATGTTTGTCAAGTTTCTGTATACATTAAAATGTAGAATCTGATATAGTGATTTCTTATGATATAATCATCTCTTTATGAGGAGTGAAATTGATCAATTAAACTAGAATTGTTGTATTTTTGGCAAGTCGGACTGGACCACATTTTTAGTTAAATAAAAAGGCATATCTTTAAATATATGAAATTATGATTAAAAAAAAAACAAAACATATCTCAAAATCATTGAAATGAGAAAAAATAGAAAAATAAATAATTGTATAAGAAATTGTTTTAGAAAATTATGATGTGACATGTGATTTCGCAAGTGAATAGAATGCGGTCAATTAAGAGGTTTTGGACCATATCATGAAACATACTATAAGTCTATAACATAAGATGAAGATAGGTAGTCGTCTTTAAAAGAAATAATGAAATATTCAGCAATGAATATTTGACTGCGGACTCAAAGTTGTGAGACACATATGATAGATATTAATTAATTAAATAGATATTGTTTCATTTGCAATACATTAGCCATGTTAAGAGGCGAGGAGTTGTTCTTTAGGAACCTATCCATGCTCGCAAAAAAAAAACGAAAACAAATGTTGAAATTTACCATTACATAATCATGATGGGCATCACAAAAAAGTTGAATGGACAAACAGATAAAAGATTAATTGAAGATAGGACGGCATAATCATTTCTCAACCTCAGTCTCACCGGAGAGCTCTTCAAGGGACTTACCCTTGGGCTCAGGGACAAGGAAGGTGAAAGCATACCGATGAAGTTAATGACACCAAGCATGATCAAAGAGTTCTTGACTCCGATGCCCGGTGGATATCCTGCGTCCGTCTTGGTCTTGTCTTGTGGCTGAGCTGCGTATAGGAACCCAAAAGCTCCCACGATGGCTCCAGCCTTACCTGTTGCGGCTGATATTCCATGGCATGTGGACCTTAGCCTGGCCGGGAAGATCTCAGCCGGGACGATGAAAGTGGTTGCATTTGGTCCAAAGTTGGCGAAGAAAAAGGTGAGTGAGTACATGACCACGAATCCGATACGGTTGTCCGGTTTGATCCAGTGGTTGTAAGGGAAGGCAATGGCAAACATAAACACGGTCATCATGAAGAATCCCATGAGTTGGATTGCAAATCTTCCCATAATATCAATAAATGCAACTGTGAACCAGTAACCGGGGACGGTACTACAGAGCGCAATGAGAGTTTGTGCCCTAGCAATCATGAAAACCTCGTGGATTCCGTTCATGGTCGCTGCCTTTGGGATCCATCCAATAGCCGAAAAAATGTCCTTTTGGAACAAGTTTTGGCTGTAGAAGGCAATGTCAAGCAAGAACCAAGTTGAGGTACATCCGAGGAGGGGAAGACCATGGCGTTTGGCAAATTCCTTGGAGAACAAGCCATAGTTAAGTCTAGGGTCTTGAACGATATCCTCCGCTCTTTCCTCCATCTCAAGCTCCACTTGTAAGACCTTAGACATGTCTTGTGTGGCTTGTTTGATGTTCTTGGCGACCAAAGCGGTGTAACGAGCAGTCTCAGGCATCTTCATACGCCAGTAGTAAGTCAAGGCTGCTGGTAGGGCACCAAACATGACAATGATTCTCCAAATGTAATCAGCTTGAGGAGGCGTTGAGAGAGCCCTGTCGACGGCATAGGTCGGAGCTGGGAACTTCTTGTCGAATATTGAAGACACCGCAAGAGCCACGAAACCACCGGCTAAGATACCGACACCTTGCATAGCGAACACGGCCGCGATGAAAGCACCACGAGTCTTCTTGTTAGCGTATTCAGACATGATGGTTGCAGAAAGAGGGTAGTCACCTCCAATACCGAATCCTAACCAAAACCTATCATCATCATAATCATAATTATTAGTATTTTATTTCCATTTATAAATTTGAATCCTTAAAACTCGACCAACAATAAAACCATTGTTATATAGAGCATGTGTATATATTTTAATCATAATTGGGTTGTACCTGAAGAAGCAAAGAGTGGTCATGACACCCTTTGCTTTGCTACCAAAGGAGAGGCCAGAAGCGACAGAGCACACAATCATCATGATTAAAGTGATACCATACACTTTTTTTCTTCCAAGCTTGTCCCCGAGCCATCCGAAAAATAGTTGACCCATAAGTGTCCCACAGAGAGCCACACCGTTGACCGCAGCCGCAACATGAGGGGGAAGACTGCCAGGCTTCTCTGACGCCGGATTGAAGTAGTAGAGACGGCCAAGGAGCTTGGTCACCAGGGACACGCAAAAAAGATCGTATGCGTCTGTAAAGAATCCCATACCGGCGATTACAATCGCCGTGAAATGGTAAAGTTGCGTTTTCGCAACATCGAGTGCCTTCAGCACTCCTAGTTGTTGTTCGGCCATTTCTGCCTCTGTTGTCTGTCCTGCTTTTACATACTAAAAGTTAATAATTTTCGTTGAAAAATTATCTTGTAAGTTGTAATACTCCTATTGTATATCGTTTTTTCACGTTCGAAAGAGTAATTTGAAACACATTTGTAAAGTTGATGTTATTATTCATCTATTATAACAAATTTGCTAATGTGATAACGTTAAAGAAATATAATATGACTCTATTGTACTTAATCTAGTAGCATTGACTTTTCTTGAATTAATATGACATATTAGGTATCATCTTTGTATATACCTATCACATATTTAATATATTATATATGCGTCCTAAGTACTAACAACAACAACAAAGAAAACATCTAAGACAGTACTAAAATATTTTTCGTAAATGATAACATGATAAATTTCAGACAGAAGAAAAAAAAAACTTTACGTTGTAAATTTGAATGATAGAAAAATCTTCTTACTAATCTTACCGTAAAAATATATTCGCTACGGTAATGATTGCGAAGGAAGAAGCAAGAAAGAAAATAATTCCAGAGAGAAAGAGAGAGGTGGTTGTGCCGTGGTGGTTGTGTTGGCTGAGACGGCGTAAATTTATAGAAGCATAGTCTTCGGCATTTTAAGGGTATATCCACATTTTATTAATTTTAATTCTATTTACATCAATCTCTTATTATGGATTGATATGGTCTGCACTTCATATCTGTTCGTTTTAATAATCTATTTTCTGTATACATTACATCTATGATTTCATATTTAGACCAATTCCATGTTTGACCCAAATAATTAAACAATTTTTGATCTTAAATTAGCTTAAGGGGATAAGTACCTGTAAATTCTTTAACAAAAAAAAAAATAAGTACCTGTAAATATCATTCATTAATATAATCCACACGACAAGTAAAGTCATCCAGAATGTTACGATCATCCATATAGCTATCTCTATGATTAAATCCAGTGTGCTTTTAAAATGTGTGATTTGCTGCAAAATCATTCTTGATACAGAAATGACGAGAAACTATTCGTAGCGGTTCCTGCGCCAAGATGTGAGCAAGTATCGAGAGATGGGGTTGACTTTTGTTAAACGTATTTTTATAATTAATGAAAGTCAACTTTGTTTTTTTCTTTTGTTTTGAAACTCTATATTAGTCAAAGCAACAATTTCCATAAAAAGTCAACCTTTTTCTTACAACAAAATAAATCCTGAAAGTAAATATAAAAACAACAGTCTATTTATGTAAATATAAATAGCTTTTCGTCTTTGATATTTAGAAAGATTTTCCCAAAACATTTTTAGTTAAGCTCTGTGAATTAGAAATCTATGTATGACAAAAATAAACAAGAGACAAGGTTCCCACTTAAAAAGGTGGTGATGCTTTGCAAATTGTAATTATATGTAGTTTGTTATAGTCTCCAAATTAGAGTATATACGTCCACATTAATATTAAAAAAAAAATGACAGTCCATGAATAGCATATATGCATTGTTTATGTAGCTGTAACGACCACACGCAGCATTATTATTTAATACAGTATGTTGCAAAAGTCAATGGGTGGAAACAAACAACATATACGGATTGAAGCAACCGTACAACATAAAGTCAGAAGAAAAGAGCACCTTTAGGATAGAAACAAAATATATATTGCTAGATAAATATCTACAAATGTATAGCAGCACATATTGGTTGACAGTTTTTTTGGTTGACTGAAATTATAATTTTAACCAAAATAAAGAAATAAACAGATAAACAAAATACTTTCACTTTCCTGATGAATTAGTTTTTTTTTTTTTTTTTTTTTTTTGATAAAGTTGAATTAGTTTTGTTGTAAATCCATTTCATTACATAAGTGCCGCCGTCTTACTGAATTTTGTGAGAAAGTATATTACAGACTCATTTATATATTTATTTTCACACCACTTTTACATAATGTATATTAGCTATTAAGGATAATACTTTATTATAGTAAGAAATAATAATATGAAATTGGTATTATTTAACTCTGAAAAGTATTATTTTTTTTTGATAAAGATTTAAATGAAGTAATGGATAATTATCTTATATATATATATATATGAAAATACTTTAACCAAAAAAAATATCAAACCAAAGTTCTTTACTAGGAGAATTAGGTTTTTAAAATTTATGTGATATTTGATATCATTATCAAATAGGCCAATTGGTCAAATCCGAGAGTGCTGCAGTGGTAAAAACATCCCTAAATGACTCACCTTACCATTGAATAATACATATATTAAATTTTATAACAAGTTAATATATCTATAATAATAATATTTACATTATACATGCAGTCTAGTTGTACAATTCAACTTTTTCTGCGTGAATCTCGGATGGTTCGCCAAATTGGTTTATGGCTCTGTGGATAGGATTCTTCTTAAGTCTGCTAAAAGGAGTTGATGCTCTATCTGCTTCCGTTCTGCTAAAAGGTTTGTTTTGGTCACATATAACCAGCAATAAAATGCTAATTAAAGCCATTAGGAAACTGAAAATCAATAAACACCAAAACAAAATGTAAGCCAATGTAAATTAATTGCAACTATATCATATGCCCTCCCAAGAAAAAATTTATCCTAGGATCTTTTTCATATTTAAAAGATCTTTTCCACAATCTTTTTCAAATTTAAACGATTTTTCATTTTTTAGAGTTTCTAGAGCATTACAGTCTTGAACTAATACCAAGCAATATCAAAGTTTCTTTACAATACATTCTGATGAACTAGTTCTTAAATAAAATCAACCGCCTGACCATGAAAACACATTTCGTGTGGCCCAGGAGAAGATCCACTAGACAATAACCGGTAGTCGCGGACATGGGACACGTAAAGATTGAGGTGTTTTTTTTTTTTTTTTTTTTTTGTGTAAGAAGATTGTGGTGTTGTGGACGCACAAATAGGGATTAGTGAGCTAGTTGCTAATTCCTCCCTCTATTTAGCTTTTATCTTCTCAATATTGTTAGTGAAAATAGGTTAGCTGTGAGCTTAGTCCTGTCTCTCCAAACTTTCTCTGTTTCTTTTGTAACATTTGATTCATTTAAGAAAACCTTTAACCAAAAAAAAGGAAAAAGATCGATCCGGTGGATAGTGTGGAACGAACCCATACATAAGTTAAATGGACTGATACCAATCGATGGACTCATAGCATGCATGATGATCAGCATTCTTTTTTTTTTTTTTTTGAACATCGATGATCAGCATTCAGAAAATCATAATCATGAAAAAGTGAAAGTGGTACTTACGTCAATATAAATGATGAGCCGTTCTTTCAAATTGAAATATTTTCCATAAAATATTCGGTAAGTAAAACTAGATTTACACATGCGTTTACATCTTAGCAATTCTTTGGATTTACACAGGTGCACCAGTAAAAATTCCACGTCACACATCAAAATATTTTGGTAAAAGAAACATGATAAAAACAAATAAGAAATTTAAATTGAAAAGATGAAATCATTTCTCAACCTCGGTCTCACCAGAGAGCTCTTCGAGGGACTTGCCCTTTGGCTCAGGGACAAGGAAAGTAAAAAGCATACCGATGAAGTTAATGACACCAAGCATGATCAATGAGTTCTTGACTCCGATGCCCGGTGGATATCCTGCATCTGTCTTGGTCTTGTCCTGTGGCTGAGCTGCGTATAGGAACCCGAAAGCTCCCACGATGGCTCCAGCCTTACCTGTTGAGCTGATATTCCGTGGCAAGTAGACCTTAATCTTGCCGGGAAGATTTCAGCAGGCACAATGAAAGTGGTTGCGTTTGGTCCAAAATTGGCGAAGAAGAAAGTGAGAGAGTACATAACCACAAACCCAATACGGTTGTCCGGTTTGATCCAGTGGTTGTAAGGGAAGGCAATGGCAAACATAAACACGGTCATCATGAAGAATCCCATGAGTTGGATTGCAAATCTTCCCATAATATCAATAAATGCAACTGTGAACCAGTAACCGGGGACGGTACTACAGAGCGCAATGAGAGTTTGTGCCCTAGCAATCATGAAAACCTCGTGGATTCCGTTCATGGTCGCTGCCTTTGGGATCCATCCAATAGCCGAAAAAATGTCCTTTTGGAACAAGTTTTGGCTGTAGAAGGCAATGTCAAGCAAGAACCAAGTTGAGGTACATCCGAGGAGGGGAAGACCATGGCGTTTGGCAAATTCCTTGGAGAACAAGCCATAGTTAAGTCTAGGGTCTTGAACGATATCCTCCGCTCTTTCCTCCATCTCAAGCTCCACTTGTAAGACCTTAGACATGTCTTGTGTGGCTTGTTTGATGTTCTTGGCGACCAAAGCGGTGTAACGAGCAGTCTCAGGCATCTTCATACGCCAGTAGTAAGTCAAGGCTGCTGGTAGGGCACCAAACATGACAATGATTCTCCAAATGTAATCAGCTTGAGGAGGCGTTGAGAGAGCCCTGTCGACGGCATAGGTCGGAGCTGGGAACTTCTTGTCGAATATGGAAGACACCGCAAGAGCCACGAAACCACCGGCTAAGATACCGACACCTTGCATAGCGAACACGGCCGCGATGAAAGCACCACGAGTCTTCTTGTTAGCGTATTCAGACATGATCGTGGCAGAAAGAGGGTAGTCACCTCCGATACCGAATCCTAGCCAAAACCTAGTAGTATTGTTTATATGTTAATTTTTTTTAAGAAGCATAGATATCAAGAATAAACCAAACGAATCTTTAAAATATGCATGCATATCCGCTATGAGATTATAGTAGACTCGGTTTTTTTAGAGAGACGGTGAGAGATTAAAGTAAACTTGCATACATAGTAACATATAAAATATTTTGATGCATTATTGTACCTGAAGAAGCAAAGGGTTGTCATGACGCCCTTGGCTTTGTTTCCGAAAGATAGACCAGAAGCAACGGAGCAGACAATCATCATAATCAAGGTGATACCATACACTTTTTTCCTTCCGAGCTTGTCACCGAGCCATCCGAAAAAGAGTTGACCCATAAGTGTCCCACATAGAGCCACACCGTTGACC